GGACGGGGATTTGAGAGAGGCAGCCATGGAGGCTTGGGGCGGCAACCTGCGCGGGCCGCGGCGTGCCCGCCAAGTCGAGGTCAACACACACAGGCTTGGGTCTGGACTGGTGGTGTCTCACGCACACACTGACGCCGGCCGCAGCTCACCCGATTTCAATCCAGAACTCTCCAGGGTTGCCAGCTCCCTGAGCCGCTGCGCCCGCCGCGCCGCCGGCCGCCCGATCCTCGCCGTCCCCAGCCCACGGCCCGCGCCACCCGCCGCCCGGTATGGGGCAGGCGAGGCGCAGCAGGCGCGCCGCCGGGCCGCCGCCGCCGCCGCCGCCGCCGCCCGCGCCGCGCCCCTCAAAGCCGAACCCGCGCTCGAACGCAGCAGAGCAGTCGGGTCTCGCAGCTCCAGCTGCGGGGACCTCTCTGGCTTCCAGCAGCGCATAGGGCACCCCGCGCCACAGCCCGTTGGGCGCCAGGCAGACCCCAACGCCCACGCCCTCACAAACCACGCCCGCGCCGCCGGAGGTCAGCCCCTCCCAACCAACGCCGGCCCGCCCCTCCGGCGGGCCGGCCCCCTCCTCGTCCTGCTGCCCGGGGGGCTGCCAGCTGTCAGGTGCCTGGCGCGCCTTGCGCTGGCAACAGAGTATGGCGCCAGAGGCCAGCAGGCCCCGCAGGCGGAGGAAGAGGGCGCCGAGGGGGTCTGGTGGGGTGGCGGGTGGGGGGCAGGAGGGCCCGGTGCAGGCTTTGGGGTGCGGCGGAAGGGGGGCGTGAGGGGTGCGAGGCTGCGGTGTGCGTGGGAGGTGGAGCGGGCCGTCTGGATCTTGCAGACCACCTCTCCTGGTGCCCAAAGCAGAGAGACCCAGGGGCTGCTCAAAACAGGGTGCAGCCGTTTCGTAACCGATGCAGCACGTTAGGGGGCGCACTCGCAGCCGGCTCTCAAGAGAGACGTGAGTGTGTAAATACATCGGAGCCCGGCATCCCATCCGCACGCCTTAGCCACCCAGCGTCCGCGCCGCGCGGCGCCCGGTTGCCATGCTGCAACCCCTCACCGCGTGCCCGGTCCACGGCCAGGCCCCTCTGAGCCTCACCTTCCCCCACATCGTCGTGACTCATCCCGCTGTTGCACGGCACACGCCCCGCCTCCTCATCCACCTTGATCTTCAGGGGGATTCCACCGGTCAGATCCACCAGCGCAGCCGCCACGCTGCCGCCCGCAGCACTGCCGCCGCCGCCGCCGCCGCCTCCCCCAGGGCAGCCGGCGTCGCCCTCAGCGTCACCCGCGCCGTCCGCCGCGCCGTGGGTGGCCAGGCAGCCGCAGAGGGCGGAGTAGCGGCCGTGAAGCTGCGCGTAGGCCTTCTCCATCAGCGCGGGCCACAGGTCCTATTTGTTGCACGGGGAGGGGTCGACCGGCCGCGGCGCGGTGTCGCGCGTGGTGTGGGCCACAGCGACGCGGGGTATGGTGCTGGGTGGCGGGGACGTCGGCTGCACGCACGTGCCCATGAACGGCACCCATCAGGCGGGCCGCTTCAATCGCAACATCAAAAGGCAGTGGGCGGACCTTGCCAAAGGTCCGCGCTTCAGGCCTGTCGGAGACTCGATCTCACGACGCTGGCAAATATTCGGTGCTCGGTGCACAAGCTCGCCCCGACACCCCAGCCCGCCCCCTTGCAGCGCCCACCTGCCGGCCCCCCGCTCGCCACGCGCACGCCATCCGCCCCGCCGCCGGCCCCGCGGCCACCACCGGCAGCCGCCCGTCCACAGCCACTTGGCGCCACTCTCCATGTTTGAAGAAGCGAAACGTGGCCGTTGCTGCGGGCGTGCTGCTCTGGCCGGCGGCAGCTGGGGAGGCGGGGACGTTCTGCAGATCGAGATCATCTGAGATGACCAAATCGAGCAACAGGTCGCGGCGGCGCCGCGCGACGGCGGCAAGAGCTCCCAGGAAGCCGACATCGCTCAAGAGGCCCTGGGCACGAGGTGATGGATTCGAGTGGATTTAGGGGATGGAGAAAGGCGAGTGAGGGGGAGGGAATGGGGCTGCACGGGGCAGCCTGACAGTGTGCCACAGTCGGCTGACTGAATCGCAGCGGCGGCTTTGCAGCGCTGATACTGACAAGCGGCAACGCGCGCCTTGCGGCGCCCTGGGTCGGGCGCGGCTTTCATGCGAGTGCACGGTGCCCAGGCGCACGCGCGTGTGCGTCAGAGGAGTGCGAGGCGTTCTTGCGCGCTCATGACCGCACCGGCTGGATGACGACAGACGATTCCTGCGGTTGCGATGGGTCGTACAGGGGCTGGCCCTCCGCGCCGCGCCATTCAACCGCCAGGCCGAGGCTGCCACAGCACGACAGGTTTGCGGTGCGGGTGCGACCGAGCGTGTGTGTTGGGGCAAAAGGAGCTGCTGCAAAGCGCCCAGGCCGCGGCAGCCTCGAGGAGCGTAAGCAAGAGTCAAGGCGTGAAGGCTGCTACTGGCTGCCACCGCCATCGATTGAAACTGCGCGCTGCAGCGCATGAGACGCTGGGCCCACGATACCGCCCGCGGCCTCACTCTGCAAACACAGTGTCCTCTTCGATACTGCGTGGCTTCACAGTGCCATCCAGCCCCATCCAGCCCTGTGGAAAGGTTCATCACGCGCTGGTGAGCGCCGCTCTCACGCGCAGCGAACGTACTGGCAGCACCCTCCAGCACAAGCAGCACATTCGCGACGCGCAAGCGCACACACGATGCGCGCACCCTGAACAGCGCAACAGCGGCAGCATCGTCATCGTCTCGTTCGCTGATGTATACTGGGCTTGCTTGCCGCTTTGCTGGTGGCGGGCTCGTAAAACCCCTGGTTGGCAAGTTCCGTCGACTCGCTGGACTCGAGGCCCTCGTCCGTGTCATGTTCAAGGTATGGTTTTTAATTTACTGGCATATTTATGCGGACAGACTCACGTGTGAGTTGCACGATAAAACTTGCGCTGCACGCCGGCGCCTCAGACTCTGAAGGCGCCCCGCGCGGCCAGCAGGCGCTCAGCGGGCGCGCCATCCAACGCCGCCGCCGCCGCGTCCCACAAGGCCTTGAGCTCCGTCTTGTCCCTGCTCCCTATGCACATCGCCATCATGGGGAACCGCGGGACCCTGGTCAGCCCAGCCACCAGCTCCGCCGCCGCCGCCGGCGCGAGCCCCGCCGGCGTCGAGGCGCCCTCCGCCCCGCCCCCTGCCGCCGCTGTGTTTGGTGGCGCCACGACGGCGGCGAGCGCGGCGCGCGTGATCGCCAGGAGGACGGGCGCCGTGAGCGAGTCCTTAAATATGGTGGGCAGCTGCGCGGCAGGCAGCAGCGACAGGTACTGTGCCTGCAGCGCCGCGTCCCCTTTGAGGGCGCGCCACGTCGATTCAAACTCGACGCTGCTGCGCGGGGCTTTGAGAGTCGCAGCCATCCGCGCCGCGAGCTGCTCAGACGCCGCCGCGGCGGCGGCGGCGAGGCGCTGCTGCTGGCGGTCGCGCGGCGAGGGCTCCGCGGAGCGCGGGCGCGGCGGTGCGGCGGGGGCGGTGGCCGGGGGGGCCTGCGCGACGGCAGGGCCCGCGGCTGCAGCAAAGGAGTCCGGGGTGCCACCGCGCGGCGCCATTGCGGCTGCTGCGGCTGCGACAGGGCTAGGTGTGCGCGGCCCAGGGGCCGATGCTGCCGCCGACTTCGCCTCTTCAGTGCCAAGCAGTGCTGCCGATGCTGCTTCTGTTGCTGCTGCTGCCACTGCCGCTGCCGCTGCTGGTGCGACTGGTGATGCCGCCGCTGCTGCTGCTGCTGCTGCTGCTGCTGGCTGCGCTGCTCCCGCGTATTCCTCGGCGCCGCTGTGCCCCGCAGCTGCTGCCAACGGCAACGCCGCCTGTGCCGCGTCGGCCGCTGCTGATGGCGAAGCCAATTGTTGCTGGCGCTCTGAACTGCACCCCGGTACCGCAACCGCCGCTGCCGGCGCCGCCGGCGCCGCCGGCGCCGCCGCAGCCGCCACATGAACAGGCGCCGCCTCCTCGGTCACCTCCACAGCGCGCCGCGCCCCCGGCGCCCGCCGCACGCCCGCCGCACGCAGGTGCTCCTCCAAGCACGCGTCCCTCTCCGCGCGCGCCGCCTTGTTGCCCGGCTCGAGCCTGACCGCTTCTTCCCAGTCCTCCGCCGCGCCGAGCCACTCCCGCATCTCCCTCCGCGCCACGCCGCGCCGCTGCCACGCCTTGGCATAGGCCGGGTCAAGAGCCAGCGCCGCGCTCGCGTCTGACTCAGCGTCCGCGTAGCTTCCCAGCTTGAGGTGCGCGAGCGCGCGGTTCGCGTGCGCGAGGCACGTCGGCCGCACGGCGAGGCTGCGGCTGTAGCAGGCGAGCGCCTCTCTGTGGTGGCCGGCCTGCAGCAGCTTGTTGCCGCGATCCTTCCAGCCCTCCGCCGTGGAGGGCTCCGGCGATGCGGCCCGGGCCGGCTGCTTGGGCTGCTGCCGGCTTGGCGGCTGCGCGCCAGGCTGCCGGGGCTCCGCCGCCGCGCCCACCGGCGC